TGATGTTGTATCTTGTCAATTATAATTCAGAAACAGATGTTGTAAACCTCTAAAACTAATGTAACGTTATTCTTATAGCGATGCTACTTAAATATAAAACCTATATCACTATTGCTTACTTATACATTCATAATATATATAAATTTATTATGTCACCTAATATTTAAATAACTAATCATTAATTTTGTTTTAATAGATTTTTTTAAGAAAATTTAAAGAACTTATATTATTTTCTGTTTATTTACTTTTTTATTTTTTATTTTTTTATATTCTTTCATGAAACAACTAATAAATTTTTTAAGTAATTTATTATATTATTTTAGAATCCTCTTGTGAAAAGTTATTTAAAGTAATTAATAATTTATTTAAATATTTTAATAAACAATTTTTATTCGAGATTTGTTAAATGTGAGTTAAATAACTGTTCTTTCTTTTTTTAGAAAAGTTAAATTATTTTTAATGATAGAAATTTTATTTTATTGTTAAAAGTTTGTACACGTTATTTCACCTTCAATGTTAATTGAATTTTAAACATCAATATTTACGAATAAAATTTCTCGTTGTTAGAAAAATGATTCTTTATGTAAACGGAAATGCAGTCAAATTGGCTATCCCTTGCAACATATGAATAACACTAATTCAGGGAGGAAAACAAAATTTTTATAAACATTTCTCTTAGCTCATTGTAATATTTTAAAAAACATATATAGTTGAACGAATATTTTTAAAAACATATATGATTGAATGGGAGTTTTAGAGATGATAAAATATTTCAGATCCGGAATTGTTAGTCTCAAATTAGGTTGTTTTATTTTATTTTTTATTTTTAGTGTGTTAATTTATTTTACTCATATAACATAAGCTAGGTATGACGGAATGACTCCTCTATCATCTCATATTATCAGATAAGTTATTAGTTGTAATTTGTTGTCCTGTTTTGTTTCCTTTTTGTATTTTAAATGGATAAATGAACTAGACGGATACCTTATATAACTTAGAGTTGGTAGATAAATGCTTGTTATATAGGAAGATCATAATTAATTATAGTTTTTTAACAATGTTAAATTTAAATTTATAAATAAAATGTTTTGTTTATACATTATTATAAAATATGTTTTCTACGTCGTCATTTAACGGTTAAATATGAACCGACGATGAATACTCTTTCAACGTCGATTGGTAATAATAGTAAATTAAGAGAATTGTCACTGATAGATTCGAACTCATTACATTGATGTTAGAGGCTAATAATCCAACTACTAAGCTATTAAAATTTTTCAATAATAATTTATAAATAAATTATATTTATATACAAATAAATGTATATCCTGTAAATATATAAATATATAAATATATAAATATATAAATATATAAATATATAAATATATAAATATATAAATATATAAATATATAAATATATAAATATATAAATATATAAATATATAAATATATAAATATATAAATACATAAATACATAAATATATAAATATAAAATATAAAATATAAAATATAAAATATAAAAATATTTTTATATTTTGATATATTTATATAGTTATATATTTACATATTTATATGTTGGATGTGAGGGCGCGTTCGACGGTGAAAGTGTGTGTCGAGTGGATTTTCAAAATTTGATGTCAAATTTATGAGCGAGTATTTTTATATGAGTTTGTAATTTAATAATAAAATATAATCTTTATAATTTATTTATATAATGATATAAAATACTTTTTTTCTTTATTTATTTTTATTTTATTTTAATTTATTATTTTTATCTTTTTTTCTTCTATTATTTAATTGAAATTCTTATATTAAAATAATTTTTTCAATATTAAAATAATTAAATATTTATTTTTAAAATTATTTAATTTAACAAATTATTATAAATTAATCTATGTCTAGAAAAAATAATTATTAAAAGATAATTTTGATTAACTTATTATAATAATCCATGTTAGGAAAAAATTGTTCTATTAATAATCATAATTAGATTAAATTTGATATCAAATTTTGAAAATTCACTCGACAACACTTTCACCATCGAGCGTGCTCTTACATCCAACATATATAAATATATAAATATATAACTATATAAATATATCAAAATATATAAATATATTTGTATTTATATATTTATAGATATATACATTTATTTGTATATAAATATAATTTATTTATAAACTATTATCAGAAAATCCTAATAGCTTAATAGTTGGAATATCAGCCTTCAACTCTAAAGTATTGGGTTTGAATCTTACCAAGTGACAATTCTCTTAAAACAATATAATAAATAATAAAAATATGATATAAAGGAAAAAATAGAGGAGGATAAAGGGTATTATAAATAAATAAAACTAGATAAATAAAGATGGATTAATAAATAAATAAAAAAGTAAGATTTAACTTTAAATTATGGGAGACTTGTAACAATAATTAATTTTTTAATAATATAACTTTCTGTAGCAAATAAAACATTAATTTCAATAAATGTTCACTGAAAATAATTAACCATAATGTTTATCTTCACATGTTTATCCTCAAACTCACTTTAAACAGTTTTCTCTTATTATTTACGCATTTATTAATCTATTGACTACATTCTTAATCTATTAATTTTTCAATATTTTTAATGATATTTATTATAAAAATATTAATAAAATAAAATAAAAAATTAATTTCAAAAAGATAAATAATTCTTGTTTTAAATTTCTAGAATAAGATTAGTTTTTACGTCGGTTGATTAAAGGAGATCCCAAACAAGACAATTGTTAATTATTTTTATTTTATGAATAATTTTAAAAACCGAGAAGAAACACCCCAAAACTAAAAGAAATTATTATTTTCCAAAAAAAGGGTCACAACACGCAAAAACACACTTACATTAGAGATTTTTCTCTGTCAACATATTAAAAATAATAATTATAAAAGTTATGACTTAAGTGTAAACAAATAATAAATTCTAATTAATATATATGATTAATCACAGTACATTTTTTAATTGAATTTAAAATATTTATTCACGGTCGTTATTTTCACCTAACAAACAAAATCTCATAATTATTCATATTAAAATACTACATAAATTTTAATAACTACAGAAAAGAATTAAATTTTAAAGAAACACATTAACTACACATAAAATCAAACACATTGTATATTGAAGTTGAAAACGTTTGAGTTTATTTTTGTGGCATTTTCTTAAGGTTAAAGAAGCATGTCCCTATTATGCTACACTTTAACGATCTCTTTGAAGCCAAAATCTCTCTCTATATTAAATATTTACCAGATAAGAAGGAAAAAAGTGAAAGAAGAAAATAAATCCCAGCTAAGAACTGATATGGCTGTGAAAAATCAAGTGTGAACACGCTTCTTCCCAGTTACCACCTTAGCCCTATATAAGCCAATTTTAATCTCTCTTTTGCATTGTACTCTCTTCTTAATTCTCTTTATATTTCACTCTTTCTCTTTCCCCCTCTCAAATTTTCACTCTTTTCTTTCATTTCTTCATCTCTCTTGGTTGAAGTTATGCATAACTAGCCTACCCATTTGTTTTTTTCAAGGTTAGTGGTTGATTGTTTATTATGGATCGTGATGCTGGTCGGTTTAAATTTTTTATTTTGTGTAATTCTCTTTCGAAACTAATATTTTTCCCTTTTGGCCTATTGTCTCTTAAAACATGTAGATCTTTCACAGTTTTGTTCCATTGTTATTTTATTTTGTGCTTTGGGTCCAATTATTTTGTTGACCATGAGATCGGTAGTTTTTATATTTTTTTTGTGTTTTTTATTTTTATTTTTTTAATTACTTGCAATTATTTTCTTGAAGGTCAAAGGGCATATGGATTTTATGTTGGTGGGGTTGTGTCCCTACGAATTTTGCTAAAGTTTGAAACTTTAGAATATTCAGTGTTTGAAAGCATCTTTATTCCTAAACAAATACTTGGATCTCCTTAGAATGAAACAAATACGATGAGACTAAATCAAGTTTTTTCCTTTTCCAATTTTGGGGGTTTACTTCTTATAAATGCATTTTTTTTTTCAATCGTATACAGTCAGAATCAGGATGATCCGTTAAACCTTGACTAGTTAAATTTGAGTCAAATGAACAGATTTAAAAAGTGAAAGTTATTTTCATCTTTATATATTTTTATTTATAATATATATATATATATATATTCTGTAAATTTTTCTTTATTTTTATTTTGTAATATTAAAAACTATCACGTTTTTTTCCTAATATTACTATACTAATTAACTATTTATATGTTAAACCAAGTTTATATTAGTGTAATAATATAACATCTGCATATGTAAAATAAATTTTTAAGATTTATGAATTAAATGTATTAATCTTTCTTAATAAATATTATAGATTAAAAATCATAATTTAAATTTTTGGAGGATTGAAAAACATATTTTACAGGAATTAAAAAAATTTACCAATTTTATAAAGATTAAAATAAGTTTATAATATACATATATATACACGTGTACATATGTGCCCACGTGGCGTGTGTTGTTGTCATTTGGGTCTTTCACCACCTTTTGTTTTCATAATTGATTTGATTAGAACATTATTATCTTGATTTGTTAATCTACTCATTGGTAAATTTAGTTTCTCTTAAATAGATTTTGCGATTATAATGTGTTATTTTGATTTATTATCTAAACAATATTTAATTACATGGACCATAAAATAGTTTAGTGACAGCTTCCACTTTTTCATTAATGGCTTCAGAAGAAACACACTTTCCACTACAACAGTAGTGTGGTTGATCATTTTCATACAAGTAGGTCATAATGAAACCCTAATTCACTTGGCAGTGTATCAGTGATAGTTTTGTGTACTTTCTTTTTTATTCAGAGGTCTGATTGGTGATGTTCCACTGACATTCATTACTCCAACTTTTACAATTTGTTCTCATGATTTCACTCTTTCTTTTGTAGATTAATACTGAAAAGTAATACCAAGGATCTTTTCTGAGTTTATGTAGGATGACAATGGATAATCTCCCAATGAAAAATCCTCCTGAAGACATATCTGCAAAATCAGAAGTTAATGAGAACAGTGTTGATTACAGTGACAAGGATAATGCAGTAAGCTTTCTGTTTCCTTCTAATTCAGTGCTTATTATGCATATGCTAATTTTTAACACTAGTGCTAAAGATTTATATACATTAATTCATATGAAGCTTATCAGTTTCTTCTATTCTCTCTATCTCATCCATAAAAATCAAAGAGAATTTTGTTAAATAATATATGTACACAGTGTTAGAAAATTAGAGAGGATACTTTGAGAAAATAATAAGAAGGTTTTCTTAATTTTGTATTCCGTGAGTTTTGGCTTATGCCTCCGCTAAAATATTTTTTGCATTTTTTTTATAATTCAATTTTATTTTAACATGAACTTTCAATCCTTCATTTTTTTTTTCTTTAACATTTTTCCTCTATTAGGAAATCCTCAATAAATTTTGTGCTCACCAAGTTTTGTTTTAAATAAAATTTTCCAGCTTCATAAACTTTAGTGAATATATCCTCAACTATATCTTGTCTTTACACACTAACCATTGAATGAGCCCTATAATTTTTATAAAACTCATTGAATTCTTTTAATGTGATTTTCACCTATCTTTTAAGTCTTCATACATAGTCACTCTCCTTTGTTACAAGAGTTTAAAAAATTACAAATGCCTCAGACTTTTACTTCAACAAATATACCCAAATCATAATAGAGTAACCCTTAATTATTACATATAAGTTATCCTCTAATACCCTAAAATAGTCAATATATTAACAACCTTTAAAGTTTAGTGGTTATATAAATATAGTGTCTCATAATACATATTATATACCCTGCCTCACATGATATACAGAAATAGGACAGTGTCAACAATACATGACTTCACAGTTACAATCAAAGTTACAATCAAATTTTAAGTAGTTCTGATCCCTGAACTATTTTATAGTATACTGTTATATTGAATGTCAGAAGGTACTCTTTTAGAATATCCCTTGAAACTATTGCTTTAAGTATGGACCATTTAGCATTCTCAATTTTACCTAGTTATGCTCAAGAAAATCAATCGTTGTGTTAAAATGATTTTCTACTTATTTTTTGTATTAAAACTCTTTGAGTTGAATGGATCATTCCATCAGCAATAGTAATTTTCACAAAACAAGTTATTAGCTTCTAAAGTTCAGGTACCTTTCATATCATCCAGTATGATAAATATTTGTCAAAATGATAGAATGCTTTAGAAATGTTACTAGCCTGGTTAGTTAATTGAGCTTTTTGTGGATGTTATTGTTGTGCCCATCAGAAAAATTAGTTTGATTTCTTTAAAAATGTGTACTTGTTTACATTTGATACTTGTTTCATTTGAAGCCTACTCCTGATGGAGAATTAAGATATTCAGACAGCTCTCACAATGAAGATCTTTCAAAGACAATAGACAAATTCAAGAGAAATAAGAAGCAGAAAAAGTCCTTCTCCAATCAACCCATAAAAGGGAAAAAGAAATTGAAGTTGTCTGAAGATAAAGCCGAGAAGCCAAAGTCCTCAAATTTAACCTCGGATGACGACGAGGTACGCTTTTACTGTGACATTTGTTCAAACATTTCCATTTAAACACTGGTCAACTTGGTGTTTTGATTTATATATTTTATTTTTCAACCAAGCTCAACCAACCTATCTATTGATTTCATAACTTCATGACTAAAAATTTTCGCAAGTTCACAGAAATTGCAAGTTCATCATTATTCAGTATCATGAAAGTGTTTACATATATTATCTATTGGTAATATTTGTTACTGCTATGCCATTTCATGATTTTTGAGCTCCAGAATCGCAAGCCCAATTCACCAAATGAATTAGATAAAAGTGAAGTTGGAAAAGAAGAGGAGGGAACAGTCGACAAAATCAACATTTCGACACTTGTGCTGCATAGGTACTACTTTCCCTTGTTTTAACAATTGGAGCTTGATTTATTTAGTATCTTATTTTTTCTTACGTTCCTTATTTAGCCATGTCAATACATTTTACCATGTCTTCTTCTACTTAGATTGTTTGAGCCACTTCTATATATGTGAAAATCATGCTTTACATAATATTCCAATTGTTTTTCTTTCAACGACAACTTATTCTCTGTCAATGTAGAATCTATTTATTTTGAGTTAGACATTGTAAATTGATGAAGAAATGCACGACATTTTCGTAAGATCACAGTTATGAACGAACTGTTTCATATATTGAGGGAAAATAGTAAAGTTTGGTATTCCATGGAATCAATAAGCAGGCCTACCAACTCAGAGGAGGAAACGAATAAATCAATTAATGATCAATGTCTTATAGACCCTTTGTTACAAATCGAAGAGGATGCAACTACAATGCATCAAACCGAAGTAGCATGTGCTGCAGACAACCTGAACAAAACAAGGAAACGGTAAGTCCGCTACCTTAAGTGTTTGTTTTGTTTGTGTTCGATAAATACTACCTTTTCATAATATGTTCTTGACGCAGTGATAAGCTTCCCATAAGAGGGGGGAAAAAACTGTCTTCGATGAACAAACAGAAGGAGCCCATTGGAAGTTCAGGTTCAGCTTCACCTACAGAAGGGAAAGAAACGATGGCTTTGATGAATCCAGACCTTAAAAGTTCAGGATCAGCTGAACCTAAGAAAACTAGAAAAGGGAAAGAAAAGAAGAAATTGAAGAGCCCAACCCTTAAAAGTTCAGGGTCACCACTGAAGCATCTCTTGGACCTTGAGACAATTATGCGCAATAAACTTGCAGCAATGAATGCTGCCGTTAATGCTGCTGCATCTTGGAAAGGTAAGGAATCAACACATTGACATGACAAAAAAATATAAAATCAAATCTATAGGCTGGTGATATCACCTTAAATCTGGCAAACAACTATACGGAATTTTCTTTCTTCTAGGTGCAAATACTCAACGTTCATCTCCAATGGATTCTACTAGTAAGGCAAAGGACACTTCCAACTCTTCATCGAATTTAGAGGTACAATGATTTCTAGACCTTATTTTTCCTCCTTTTTTTTGATGTGGTCCAAATATTACTTCTCATTATAGTTTGATGGAAGACTTTCATCACTTTGCTAACTAGACCAAACGCATGATTTTTGTCAGAATGGTTTAGCTCTTGGTTATACACCCAGTTCGGGAGATATTAGCACTAAAACCTCAAGTTCACATTCAGGATATCCATATTACAGAGACGAGGATGATGATTGGTCTGAGTTGGAACTTGAGGCTTTGTTGAGTTTTGTTAAAAAGTATGGTCTAGGTAACTGGAATGTCAAGTTTGTAGATCCAGATTTGCAAGTCATAAGGAACAAAACTGCAAAAGAATTAGCTGAAAAGTGGGAAAAGGTGGCTCCTAAAATGCTACCATATTTACCTTTACCATACAGCACTACGCTTTCTGTCACAGCTGATAGACCAACACCTCATGCATCACAAGGAAATGGATTACACTCAACCATTGACTCCACCGCTATTCAGTTTCCAAGTGCAAAATTTCCAATTTATAGGCCTAGTCCTAGACTCGGCATTCCTCCCTTTCATTTTCATGCGGGGAATCAAGCCCTCAACATGGGAAGGATCATGCCATCCTCAAATGGTCTCTTTGGTCCTCACTTTCAAGGGTCTTCCAGAGGAGCTTTTCATTCACTTCAGCCCTTGCCTAGTGCTCATCCAAGGGAACCGAATGCCAACTTGAAGACAATGAATCCACAACTTCTGGGTCAATTTCACAATGAGAGGCTTAATCTGCTGGCTCGAAACTTTAGCCCTATGAGTGTTCAGACACCACAAACTCCACCATTATCTCTCAGTGCAACAACAATTTCACCTCCAGCCAATAATGGAACTGAAGCTGGGTCTCAGTTGGTGTTGGGTGGTCCAATCCTTCTTCCGAATAACTTGAAACTGAACAAAAATGCAGGTCCTGACACTGACAATAACAAGTGAAATCCTAGTCGGATTGAAGAAGAGGAGAGGGTAAAGGTTCTTCGCAAAAAACCTGGTCTGCAGCTTCACCTGTTAACTGCATGTTTAATATGCGAAAGTTTCTGACTTCAGCAACAATTATCGTAAGTGTCTCTATGTTCTTTAGCATCCCGTATGGAAGGGAAGTATTTGGTTTAAATTAGCAAACGCTGCCTTAGGTCAAACTCATAGTTATTTTCATATCTATTTCTAAATTTGCGGTAGTTGTTTCAATTACAATAATGACTGAGTATTGGACCATAAATGGTTGGATTTTTTATTGCCAATATTTATTGTTGATTTTATTAACTTGAAGTAATAGATCTGTTTAATTCTCAGTCTTGAATTAGGAGATATAGTGAAACACATCGATCATCGTTTTGAAAATAAAAATCATTAAAAGGCATGTTTGTGCAACGTTGGTGAAAATCTTTCTTTTACTTGTTCCTGCCCCACCTTCCCATCGTTTCAGTTTAGTTAAGATAAGAAAGTATTTTATATCTAATCTAAGATTCTTCTATGCAATTTCATTTTACCTGAAGTCCAAAACATGATGTTAACTAGTAAGCTAGATCTAGGTTATGGTCCAACTTTATTAACTTACCTAGTTGCTTATGCCCATTCCTCAAACATGTTTATAAAACCGGATATAATATTTTATATATCATTTACACAACTAAAAAAAAAAAATCAAATTTAGCAAAGGAAAAATTTTGTCAAAAACACTAACAAATTTCTAGAAAACATTTTTGTTACATATTTAGATATCTCAAACATTTTAGGTTTTTTTTTCTACATAATCAGTGAAAAGTTATTCTGTCACAACTTATTAAACAAACCATTTAATATGTTTTTTCTTCGGTAATTGTGACAGAAATGTCACTCACAAGTGTAACATAATTTTCTCACAAATTTTGACGATTTATTCATCCCAATTTTTTTTATAATTAAAAATAAATAATTTTTTTAAAATTTGTAAAAATATTGGTATAGATTTAGTATTTATTTACATTAGACGTTTAAAATAGTATTTTTTTTAAATTGAATAAATTATTACAATTACAAAAATACAGTATTTTAGGTTTTCCAATTGTTAGATTTGAACGACCCAGACAATTTAAAGTCTTTAATAGATCAAAGACCATAATTATCCTTATTCATTGATGATCAACAAATATATTTATATTTCGTATATTTAATATGGTGAAACAAGATTTATGTACGAATTATATTAAAATTTGTTTACGAGTTAATCAAACCGTCTTAGATATTCCTCAAAAGTTCATACTCAAACTGTCTCTTACTCATAGCTCATTGTCAGATTCTGAAGAGTAAACTATCTATAAAAGCTAATAAGTATTAGACTGGCTCATAGTTAAGATGGTCTACTTTTGTGATTTTAACTCATGCAAAGTCAAACATTTAACAATTCCTAATTGAGATTTGTAAAAGCTTACCATATGTTGTACCTTCCCTCTAAAGAACATGCAAATATGTTAGAGATTTTACAAACTCGTTTTCATAATAGCCTTTAGGTTTTACAATGGGTATCTCATGCAAACCCTTGTAAAAGAATACTTTTCCATGCATAAATGATCAAGAAAGCTACGTGAGAACAAAACTCTACACTTTAAAAAAAAAAACTTTTGTAATATTTTTGAGTGTAACATCTTAAATAAAAAATATTGATGATTAATTATTTGGATAAAAATTATTTATATTAATTTAGAACTTAATAGGAACAATGAGCATAAATTTAATAGACCAATGTAATTATATTCATCAAATTAGTTTGCATAGAAATTAGACTATGTTGCATTAATATTAGTGTAAAATAAGTTTTTTATGTCATTTTTTCTTAGTTAGATGATAAAATAATTTATTTTAAAAAAATACGATGATATTTTTATAAATAAAAATCACATGTTTTACTTTGGAAGTTGTTTAAAAATTTGAAGTTCTATTGAATTAGAATCAGTACCTGGACTAATTATTTTAGATTTACTAATTATGTAAAAGCAAATTTGTCACTTTTGCCTAAATTTACTTTTAAGAATTTGTAGCAAGAAAGTTAAAAAAAGTAACTTAACCATGAAAAGATTTTGCTTTGCAATGACACTCAAGGTCCAGTTGCCTAGGGGAAATTGTGTATAATTATTGGCTAATTGAACTTTCCAAATCCCTTAGCATTATAAAAGAGAGGCCTTTTCTCTTATATGAACCCATTTTTACTCCACAAAAACAATGAATGATATGTATGTTTGTGAAACCTTGTAATAGCTTTTGGAAGTTTCTAACGTTGCTATGTTGTATAAATAACCAACCGATAAGCTTTTTCATTGACTTGAAATATGAGATTGTGTTTTGATGAAATTTGTGTGATGACATGAGATATGTTTTGATTCTTCAAACTTTAAAAATGTATGTGCTTTATGAAATTGTAAATAATATGTTTACATGATCAATATGGGTGATAAATGTTGTTCGAATGCAAGGAAGAACAATAATCCATAATATTATATTATAAAATAATTGATTTTTTTAAAATCTTTTGCAACATTTTGTTTCACAACATTTTTTAAATCTTTTGCAAATAAAAATCAGGAAAACAAGATGCCATGCATATAATAATCCAACATAGAACAAAATGTTCAGAATCCCAAAATCAGTCTTGAAGATAATAATAATAATAATAATAATAATAATAATAATAATAATAATAATAATAATAATAATAATAATAATAATAATAATAATAATAAAACATGAGAAACAAAAGAACAATTTCAAATAGGCCCTCTCTAAAATCAGTAACAAATTGATAGATGCAAATCACTTGAAGCCCTAGGAATGGTGCTCAAGTAGTCTTCTATTCCACGGTGAAATGCCACTTTCTCACTTCCATCAAGCTTTCCCTTCAGCACATGGATGTTAACCCTCTTCAAGATCTTCCCAAAACGAATAAGATAGCATAAGAAAAAAAGTCCATTCTCACTCCCTACAAAATCCTTCACCTCAACTATCTTCAATGATGATTCCAAGCATTTGTAAATGCTAAAATTTTTCACACCCTTCATTCGATTTTCAACCCTACTGATTAAAATTTCCAAATCAACACTTTCTTCGCCATACTTGTCGTCCTCTTCGTCATCTTCGTCATTTTCATTCTCCTATAATGTGTGTATATATACAAACATGTCTTAATTAAAGTCTCCATACACAATAAAAAATAAAAGGATAAAAATGGAAGAAATAATCATAGATAACTTTCACTAATTTAAATCAACTTACGGTATCCATGTTATCATCTTCATCTTCTTCATCCTCATCCTATAATATTTAAAATACATTTAACATGTCATAACTAAAGTCTTAATAGATAATAAAACAACACAAACTAATTAACTATAAGAAAAAAAATAAAAAATAATCAATATATAATGACACTATCATAAACCAACTTACAGCCATCAACATTGCTAGATCATCATCTTCGTCTTCATCCTATAATTACATATACAAACATATAACACATGTTAGAATTATATTCACAATAAATATAATGAGGTCGTGATATATAGGTCCATTTAAACAAGCTTAAGAACTTAATTAATATATAATGAAAGATAACTTACACTGTCTATCCACATTCCTTGATGATCCTGTAATGTATACAAACACATTTTAATACATGTTATAATTGAAGTATTATATATTCGATAAACACACACTAGCTATAAAGAGAGGCTATATATACTAACACAAAAACATTGTTTAGATGTCAATTTTAGTGATATAATATGTTACGAATTTACTCTTCTATAAGTAATACAAGATACATAAATTGTTTTTTCTAAACAAAAATACTTGAAAAGTGAAAATAATTGAATTGAACCAATTAAAATATATATATATATTCTCTGATAATATTTTGATTAGTTTATGATATATTTTAGAATATAAGAGAGAGAAAGAGAGCGAGAGTTACTGGTATAATGAACTCTGAGTTCAATTCAAAGGTTAGAGTCTCTAGCATTGGGCAGCTATGGAGAAAGAATAAGACTCCACGAAGCTCAGAGCAATACATGTTCATTTTCAGTGTCAAATGCCTTGTGTTCATGTCTCTTTCCATGCGTGGCTTTTCTCCTAATGCAATAACCTTCCATATAACAAACACAAACATGTGAATAGATTTTATATATAGTACAAAATCAAACATATGTGTACCAAACAAATCAAACCTTCAAATAAATTTGTTAGAGTAAATTAAGATGATTTTGTATCTCAACTTTTTGTTATGAATTTAAAATTCCAAAATTTAAGTAATCAAATTATTTTCATAAAATTATAAAATTTTTATTTGAATAAGACATTTTATTAAGAAAAAGATAAATTCTTTATTCAAACACAGAATGTATAATCTAATTTATCTAAAATTATAACATAGAGATATATATGATTAGATAATACAGAACCACGTGTATGTTAACAAAAGTATGCGTACCTGAAGTAGATAAGGGCACACAGATAGAGTCGTAGCACTGTAGAAAGCTTTCACCAAGTCATATAGAATCTTAGCACCAATTCTTTCATAAGCGTAACCAACATAGAAATCAAGATGTGCCTCTTTTATGGCTAAGCCACTTTCTAGATTAAACATACGAAGTTTTCCAATATACTTGAAAAAATATAAATTTGGGGCACTGATTTTGAAGAAAGCATTCCCAAAAGAACACTTGTCAACAACAAGTCTTTTCAAACTCAACGCACGTTTGCCAATTTTGAATTGGCTGAAGTTCCAACACTTTTTAAAAACCAAACTTTCAATCTTAGTACAATTTGACAACAAAGCTGTGAGAGCATCTTCAGTCACTTCCATCCAACCAAGAGTAACCTCTTTGAGACGCTCCCAATTACTTACACCAGTTTCAAGAAAACCACATGAAAAAAGCTTCAGACATTCAATTGATTTATGCTGATAT